TTAACTTTAGGAGTCCAAGACCACATTTTCCATCTTGCCTTTGTCTATTTGAATAGAATAACTGTTTGAAACTCCAACTCAGAAGCCAATCACACAGCAGCATGGAACATCTACCCTTTCTTAGCATTATCTTTCATGAGTCAGAGCTGCTTGATGCAGCAGATTGCTGCTTCTATCCTGACAAACTCATTTATCAGCAAAAATACAAAGATGCCAAACAAACACATCACAGAAATATAACTCCATCAAACAGAAAATGTTTCCTTCCAAATGCTTGGTAGTTCAAAACTTTTGTAACAGTAAGGAGACACAAAAAAAAACCTTTATTCAAGTTAAACAGCTGTGGACAACAGTTGTATAAATACGCTAAAGGTAAGAGAGCATGCATGTGTGTTTGCGTAGAAAGGCACACACACACAGAGCAGCCTTAGCAGTTAATGGAGGTGGTTACCCAGGTCCCTCATTGTGAAGAGACCCAACCTTCCCTGTGTAAGGGGCAGCCCAACTGCTTTGCCCCTGCCTAAGCCCAGAATCGTAGAATGGTTTGTGTTGGAAGGGCCCTTAAAGAACCTCCAGTTCCAACCCCGTGCCACGGGCAGGGACACCTTCCACTGGCTCAGGTTGCTCCAAGCCCGTGTCCAACCTGGTCTTGAACAGGCTTTAGCACCTCTCAGGGAAGGTTTGTAATGCAGGAAAAAGAATCAGCAGCCCCACCACACCCAGGAGAAAACCGCTTGCAAGGCAAGGACTCACTCCTAAGTCTTTTTGTCATAAGCGTCCCCGTGGCCCTGTTGTGCCTAGCAGGTGAGATCAGTTTTGAGCCACACAAACATGGATGACTACTTCTTTACAAATCAGAAATTATAATAACATTACTCCAAATAACTTCATTTTGTTGCAGAATAATCTCTTCCCCCCTTAAGTGCACGCCAGAACTGGCTGAGACATGATATATAACATAAATGTTGAAGCCATCTTTATAGAATTGCCTAGAGACATCTGAGTTCATTTGACTCATGCTACTATGTGCAGATAATTTGTCTTCAATTACTTCAGTTTTTTATGTAAAGAAGCTTGTACATTGATTTCATAATTATTGCTTTTAATTTTTCTACTTAAATGAAGTTTCTTTTTACACTAGCTATCAAGGTGTACTACAGCAAGTGACCAGATGTTATCAAGGAAATAAGACACTGCTTGGTGTCTGTAGAACACTCAGCATGTGCCAGCACATCATCTACATTTCAGATCTCCTATAAAGAGGAGAAAAAATTGCCACAAAGCGTACAAAAGTTTTACCTTCTTCTTACTAATTTGTTGAAATAGGATGGACTTGGAACACACACACGTACACAAACCGCTCAAAACATTAATTAAATGTTCTCCTCTTTAAACTTCAGATGTTTGGATACATTTTCTGTTTCCCTTGGCCTGAGAGTTAAAATCCCTGCTTTGAAATGCAAGCTCCAGCAAGCCACCAGGTAAGGCCAGCTTTAGTGTTTCACCATGTCTCTCCTTTGCTGATGAAAGTAAAAGAAAAAAGCTGTTGATAGCCAATCACTTAAAAGATCTTAATTTCAGTTGGATTTACATGGGCACCCACGTCTACATAATGCTGTCCGTATATACATGTCAACTCAGGGTACATACATATGTATGTGTACTGATTAATTTTCTCAACAGTTAAAATCTTCCAGCTCTTAACAACAACTCTGAAAAGATAACCACACTGCTTAAATTAAGTCACTAAAGTTTAAGCAAGGGCTACTTTTCTTGACCTTTTATTACTATTATTGTGTGTTGACTTTTAAAAACATTGCAGAAATCTCATGACATGCCAAGGAAGACTTTGTCATGCTGGTAAAATAACCTGAAGATGCTTTTGTGAAATCCTGTACTTTCCTGCATCCCTCAAGTACTATTATTCCATGAAGATAATGTTTTCATAATGTAATTGCAACTCTATCATGTTGCTGTTATTGCATTTTAATAACACATGTTTAACTGTGTAAGTCAATGAACAAATGCACTGTGAAGAGCCATGGCACAGTAATCGTATTTGATGCAATTTTCTCCATCAAATTTGAAAGAAAACCCTGGAAACCTGATTTTACAGAAGTTAATTGCAGTGGGAAAAGAATATAATGGGAGGCATTAGAATACTGCCACAGTTAAAACACAGCAGTCAGCAGGGCAAATCATAGACTTCTTTTAAAATCAATACCAAACACCAGCTCTACAAACTAAATATGTAAATGTCTCTACTAAAATTACGCTGCTTTCTTAAAATCGAATCTACAGACTCCTCTTTAGAACATTATTGCACAGTCCTTTGTGCTTTTGCCTAGCAACAAGCCTTCTGGTGCTGGATGCTCTCAGGAGCGACTCTTATTACCAAGACACCCCATCTCTTTACATCTCCTGTTGTTTCTTGCGGGAGGGAGGCAGTCCTGTGTCAGGTATCCTCCACACTAGCTCTGTCTGAAACGAGACAGTAAGGCAGGTAGACCATGAGCTCTGCGCAGCTGATGTTAGACAAAAGTGGTGAGAGGTGTTCTTGGGGTGTAACAGTGTGACTGCATTGGGATGCAATATTCGAGGAGTCCGTGATTCTGAGCAGGGCATGTTTGCTCTGCTGGACCTCATAGTTCAGGCTTGAGAAGCCCATATGTTACTAATGTCATCTGTAATTTATGAGGTCTTTGTACACGGATCAAGAGCTGGAACAAAATTAAACAGGGGAGATTAAGATGAGATCTTAGGAAGAAGTTCTTTCTTGTGAGGGTGGTGAGCTGATGGCACAGGTTGGAATGGAATGAGCTTTAAGGTCCCTTCTAACCCAAACCATTATGTGATCTATGAATGTTGATCCTGACTGAGACAGTTGCATTTTGAGGAGTTGGTGATCAACGGGTCATCCCGGCTGAGCAGGCACACACCACACACCCAGCATGGCTCCCAGCCTGTGCTGCACTCCACAGATCCCACAAATCCTGAGGCTGGAGGATGAACCCAGCCTGCTCAGTGTGATGGAGGAGCCTGCAGGCAGCTCCCACTAAGCACCAGGATTATGCCCAGCAAGAAGTTCCCATGAGAACACCCTTTAGGAACACATTTTTATTTCCTGTAGGTAAATTCTATCTTATCTCAGATGACCACAAGGGAGGGCTTCTCCCCACACACAGCATCTGCTCTGCCTTGTGCAGCATAGCAGGGGAAAACCAATCCAGGCTCGCCCTGATGCTTTATGAATGTGGGTACCTAGCATCTTAAGGGACATATAATTTACTTGCTATCTATGCTCCTCTTATTATTCCACCTTATTAAAGAAGTTATCTTCTTAAGCCATTTGTTGTCATGCCTTTCTTATAGAGATCCCAAAAGAACACAGCGCTGGCTCTCCCCCCTTGCCATCACCACCACTTCCCAGGCAGAACAATAACCAGTATGGTAAGTAATCAGCTAATTCCAATTATGTTTGACCATCTTGCTTGTGTTTATACACAGTATACATATTTACCATATCAAACTGGCAATAGAAGCCAGGTTTCAATTTTCTGTCATTGTACAGTTGTACTCATGATTCTGCAGCCTGATACACAATGTGATTGTCCTTGCTGGCAAAAGCTGTCTCTCAGATGATGACCAATGCATCTAATGAATGGCTTTAATTTATTTATAGGACTGAACAAAGGCTTTAGACCCAGCCTTTGCTCTCATATTGCCAAAGGCTATCATTAAATTTTAATTGACAACCTGAATCTTCCCCAAGAGATGTTTCGTCATCTCTCCTGAGGACTTGCAGGGTGTCGTTCCCTGGACCTAGCCTGCAGACACCCAGAGCTGAGAAGTGCTCACACGAGCATTAGGTTTCCTGCCGAGCTCAATTCAAGCCACAATTATAAAATGATGAGTAACACCTAACCTTTGTCTGAATCAAAGGGCTTTCATTTTCACAAGGTGGATTAGAATTCCTGAGGAATATGGCAGTCATTCCCTATGGGGAGGGTTCCCAGCAATCCACTATACACCTGTACTACCACCTCCTACAGCTCCAGTCTGACCAGAGAAAACCCTTGACTAGCTGCCTCTGACATTGTCCTTCAATGGTGAGCTTTGAAAAGCTCTGCAAGGAGGACAGCTTTACTCTTCCAGCCTATGTCTTAGCAGAAGACCTGATGGAATGAACTGTCACCTCTGCAGCTGGGGTTGGAACCTGTGAAGTTTCTCCTGTCAAAGGGGGAAGGGAAGGAAAGAATTGGCAGACGACATCACACACTAAGGGATTTGGCCATGTAGGTGTCTAGTGTTCACTCAACTGCATTTACATTTACACAGATGCCACCTCTTCCTGAGTTGCCCACATCACCTTTAGGAGGACACTCAGGACTGCACATTTCCATGTTGAAGCACTATCTCCATGAACCATCCTAACCACATTCAGACAAAAAGCTGAGTTAACAGAGTTACCACTATCGTCTTGCAATGCATTCTGGTGGCTCTCCAAGAGGGGGGCTGTAGCCATCTCAATACACAGCCAGCCATAGACTACAATCATTGTTTCAGAATTGAAGATGGGAGCAATCATTTGTCGCCTGCCACCCACAGTACCTCTGCCTTCCATTGTGCATTCCTATTTCAGGCTATACATAAATAAATCATACAACACTCCTCATACAATTGTTTGGGTTGGAAGGGACCTCAGGATCATCTAGGATTCTACGAGACACTTGCACAGAGCCTACATAAAGGAACTGTTCATTCTGTACACATGAAAAAACTGTAGAATATGCTCCAGAGGATTAAGGAGAAATTAAAATACTAGGACAGAGAAGACATAATGGGAAGATGGAGCAGGTGAAATAGCAACAGGCAAGGAAGGAGAAGGAGAAAATAAGACAGATACTGTACTAAAGTACCATCACCTCAAAAATATAACAAAAACCCCAATAACCAACCAACCAACCAACCAACCGAAGAACAAAAACCAAATATAGCAATAAAGAGTTTAAATATCTCTGTTTCCAATCAGGATGTGAAGGTAAATGCGATGTTCAATACAGGCAACATATTTTTATTCTGAAAGCAGCCTGGGTGTCCTTCCTGCAAGTGTATTTTACTCCTACAAAAGACTACCAGAAAAGAAGAGAAACCCACAGTTACAGACTCTGTATAAACTAAACCACTAAGGCCTAGAAAAGCTGAATTAGGCAAAGTAATTAAGCACTTAAGCAAAGGAGATAAAATGTGCAAACTACACAGCAGGTATCAAATGCCTTTTTTGTTTATTTGTTTAAGAGAAACATTTTAATTTTATATCTTTTACTGCAGTCTTGGTTCATGTTCCAGGCACTCAGCAAAGGCTCACAGCAGGACTGTCTTCAATTGCAGCAAGATTTGGATGAGCTCACGAAAACAGAGATTCTCTTCCTATTATTGTAACAGATGCACAGTACACAGGGAATAAGCAAGATGCTCACCCATACCTCCACTACTTGAAAATCATGTTAGTAGCAGCTCCCTTCCCATGAGTTATTTCACTTTAAAAATCAAAAGTCTCTTTAAAGATACATCAGGATGATTGCTCTGCTTCAGTGGGATTGCATTAGCAGATCCAGGAACATTGTCCAGCAGCCAGAATACACAGCTATTTTCTGCATGATGGTATAATCTAACTAGGATAAAAATATTGGGTGAGGGAGACAGTTTATGTCTCTCTCCTTGGTATGTCTTAGTATATCTATTAGTGGGATAACGCACAGTTGCGTGACCATCTGCTTCTCAAATCACTGGCACCACAGAACAGCAAAGTGAGAAACAGTGTTGTCAAAGTTAAATACATCTGCACTCTCTCAGAACCTTTTCCTGAGCCCAAATGTTGGTCCTTCCAGCAAAGTGTAGCTGCTTTTCACAGCAAATTCATACTGAGTTGTGTTTGAAGAGAATGATCTAGACACACCCTTAAGATTCTGAAGCAAAGAAAGCTTTAGCTGTAAACCTGAACAGATACATAGAGAGATAGGATAATTTTTTAATCTTACGCTCTGCTTTTCAATTCAATTGCTGCTTCTACAGTTGCAGGAAAACCTGCCCAAAAGCCTACAATTGTGTGCTAGAATCATACTCTGAGAGACTAAGACAAAGAAGCCTCAAATATGCCATCTATAGGTCTGATTTACCTTTATTAAGAAGCCTTTTGTATCCTTGGAGCAATTTCTGAAGGCAGGTTTCATCATACTCTTGATTTCTGGCTTCTAATTTATACTGAAAACACTGAAAGCAGCTTTCTTGTTTCAGTGCAGACCCAGACTTGCTGGCAGTGGCAGTAATACCAAGGTATCTGATGGCCTCTGCATACAAGCAGCTTATTGTTACCCACAGCCTCTCTGCAATGGTGGCACAGAGTGCTCTGCGGTAGGAAAGCCTTGTGTTCTGAATTATATTCACAATTAATTTCTCAAAAGGACAGTAATGCTATCTGCAGTGAGGTGCACCACTTAGAAACAAAGCAACTTCTTTCTTGAGATCATTACTACAACATGGTATAAAAAGCACGTATTTTATACCCTTAACAGCATCAGCACAAACTTACTCAGACTCACTGACCCCCTTCCTTCCTGCTTATGACAGATTAATAATAATAATAATAATAAAAGGTAAAAAGGCAGAAAATATTTGGTGGGGTAGATAGTCAGATAAACCAACAGACCAGCTTTGTATATACTTTATTAAATTTCCTTTAATAAAATTGAGCTGTTTCAATAACAATAATAAAATTCTAGAAGTTGGTTTCAAATAATTCGTCACATATAATAGTGGCAATATCTATCCTGCATTGTTTTCTTTATGACTTGGATAAACACCATCTGGCAACAGGGTGTTGGAAGGATTAAAATCGTGAACTCCTCTGCAGACTTTGCCCTAAGGTTACCAAAGAACAATCAATTCCTGGAAAGCAGCTTTGAGGGCACATTCGTCCCACCTCTCTCAATGAAAAAAAGACATCAATATCTCATTTAGTTTCCTAATGACCTTGCTCTAGAAGAACAGAAGATGGATCTCTTCACATGCTAGCTCATACACATGCCTCTTGTATTTATCCTACTATAGAGCCACTTTTAAGCCTCCATCAAAATTAAAAAATATACCTGCATACGTCTAGTCTGAAAAACAGTTAAGAACACTTACAAATTTAGTGCTTTTTTTGAACTAGGATGTTAAAATCCATCCTGGCATCTGACTCATGTGGGCTTTGATATTGCAAATGGACCTGAAGATTTTGGAGTTTGAATTCTGGTCTTTTTTTTGTTCAGTAAGGCAAGAATTATTTGGAACATACATATCATCAGGACTTGGCATTCCTCAGTGGCGACAAACCCGAATCCTTAGTTTTTCTACAGTATTGATTCTAGTCAGCTGGCTTGAAAACAGCACCAGTTTTAAGCACTTGCTTTTCATCCTCATGTGAGGGTTGCTATATTTTGCAGTAATGCATTTTTAGGTGGGCAAGTGACAGAGCAGTAGCAATTAAGTCAGACCAGTTTTATTTCTCATATTTTGTATTTTTCCTGACAGCAGTTGTTTAAAAAAGTGTCTGTTCAGAGTCATAAATAATGTTTCACTTCCCATACAGCCAATGGCAGTGCAGAAGCATTCGCCAAGTAAAATTGTAATGGTACTTACCAAGAAAGTGATTAACCATAATTGCTGACAATAATTTAAATATTTACACCATACTATAAATTAGGGCTTTAGACTAGTGCATAGTGCATCCAGACTAAAGAGCTCCTTCTCATCCTCCTGATTCATTTCTATGAATGAAAGGTCTTCACAGACCTGAAGAAAATGCAGCATTTTGACGCTAGTGTTTTTCCTAACTGTGAAGGTGGCTGTTTCTGTCTTCAGCCAGAAACCCCAACTTGGCCAAAGTTTTAACCATCTTTTTTAACCATTAGAAAATTCCTGTTCTGTACTTTGAGTCTCACATAGCAACACCTTTATAAAGGTTCTGAGATTAGCCACTGTGGTGGGATAAGCATCCATTATTCTTACACACTGCCATTAGTTTCTCATCTTATATAAAAAAGTGCCTAGAAATGCAGCATTCAACAATAACTCAAACCACAGTTTCCCGGGCCCCAGTATTAGAATGTTTTGTGTCTCTCAGTCATCGATTACCTCTTGTTTGTACATCAATTCTGCAGAAAAGCAATGCCAGAGAGAAACATAAATTCATATCTCACTCCTTCTGCCTACTAAGTCAGAAAAATGGTTTGGTGGTGCTCAAGAAGGAAATCCTCCGAAGTCCAAAGACTAATGACGTTCCCTTTTATTGTAACCCTTTTACAATCCGTCACACTGACTGGTACATTTAGGGCTTCACAGTGAGACCTCCAGGCAACCAGGTGCATTGCAGAAGTGATTCACATATATAGTCCTACAATGGAGACAGTTCTAGCCCAAAAGTCAATCTGCATCCATGCCTTAAAAACAGCTTTCCCTGGAACACAGCTGCTGGCACTGAGTAAGAGCACAAACCTGCAGATGAGCTCACCTAGATCCTGCTCCAAGCACAGATGTAGCCTGTGTTTGGCCATGTCAAGGTCCCTTAGGAACCAGATGAAGTACAGAACTGATAGTCAGCAACACTTCATCCTGAAGCATCTGATCCCAAAGCAAATCTGAGCATTCTGTTTGATACCTATCAAAAAGAGATTCAAAGCATCCAGCATGCTAGATTTCCTTTGGACCCCCATTTCATTAGCAGCTTTTCCTCCTTCTACCCTCAGTCAGTGTAAGAAACCATTGAGGTTTAAGATCTATAGCTTAGACACCAGAATGTCCTTCCCCTCCACATCACAGAGATGGGTGAAATTATTTATTCTAGTAGTAGTGTAGTTGTTAAGAGTACTTAGCTGTGTCCAATTCTTTTCCCAATAAAAGAGGTTCAAACCTGTGCCCCAAATACTGTAACAATGGCTAGTTGGTGCGCGCAGCACCTCTCACACTGAAGTCATGCCGCTACCCCTGGAAAAATTTGCAGGACTAGGGCAAATGTAATTTTGGATTAGCTTTCCCTTCACTCCCCAGAGCATCCACAAAACATCTCCATGCTGGGCTGAGACCATGGACTTCTTTTGAGCATAACTCCAAAGATTTATCAGGAACTACCAACTTGCCTCCTCTAAGTGCCATGTTTTAAAGTACAGTAGCATCTTAGCCCTGCACCTTAGAGGGATCCCAGTCTTCTCAATAGAAACTGCTCATGCCCTGGGCTAAATGGGAACATTGTCACATCCTCAGAGGCTGCACGGTGATGAATTAACCACACTTCAGCCTGGCTTCAGCACTAAGATACCCAGTGCGAGCAGTTCTTGACCTCAGGTAGAAACAAAACAATTGATGTTAATCTCTAACCAGACAGTGATTTTTAAAATCGCGTTTTTGATCTCAACCCCATCTATCTATGCCAAGTTTAGAACATTATTTATCAGTTCTGGTTCATTTCTTCCTTACCTCAGTACTTCAGTTCATAACACTGGACTGATGCTCAACTTCTAAACAGGAGTAACATGAGCAGTAGACAGATGTTTGCAGGATAGCTCAGCAGATGGCAAAAACTGACACAGCAAAGATTAAAAAGTAAAATATGCATTTCAACAGGACCATTACCCTAAACTCAAGTTCCATGTAAGCTCCTCAAAAAGCTTACAACAAAAGCAGATACAAATTAATTACAATACCCTGCAAAGCCAAAAATGCCTTTATATTCATGGTCTATGTAACTTACATTATGATATTGATAGCTTTTTTCTTTATTTTTTGACCTGTTAATGACTTGGAGTTGAATTCCCTGACTTTTATATTCTAAGACAGTGAAGATTACTCACAACTAGTGCATCAAGATTCAATAAAATACAAAAGGCACTCAGCATATCACAAAACCACAGACTTGTTTGGGTTGACGGGACCTTAAAGCTCCTCCAGCTTCAACCCCTGCCACGGGCAGGGACCCCTTCCACTGGAGCAGCTTGCTCCAAGCCCCTGTGTCCAACCTGGCCTTGAGCACTGCCAGGGATGGGGCAGCCACAGCTTCTATGGGCACCCTGTGCCAGCGCCTCAGCACCCTCACAGGGAAGAGCTTCTGCCTAAGAGCTCATCTACTAAATATACTGCAGTTTTTGTCTTACTAAGTTTATGGGTAACACGATACATGCTTTCTAATGTCTGACTGCAGCTGTCATTCAGTCTACTACAAAGATAAAGGTCAGTGGAAAATACTCAGTTTTGAACATAAAGTCATGGAGTGGTTTGGGAAGAAAACCCAACAACAGGATATAATTGCAAGCATAGATACCTAATGAAGTGAAAATGTGGCAACTTAGTGCTAGTAAACTGGCTATATTGGAATTTATTTTAATATACTGCATCAAAGTATATATTCATACTATGTATATTGAGCTGATAGAAGAAAGAAAAAGCCAGATGGCGCTGCTTTCTCTAGGCAACACAGCTTTACAGAAAAGTCACTTGCATATATATATGTGCTCCTAAAGGGAGAAACCCAAAGAAAAAAAAATTTGCAATGTATTTTCAATAGTCTGCCAGTAAAACACCAACATACATCTGTGTTTCTACAGCCAGCCAATGACATTCAGCAGAACTGCAAAGAGGAATGATCACAAGTGGAATGAAGGCATTTACAAGTTCTGCTGAAGGCACTCAGCACTTTCAGGTTTCCTTATGTATCACATTTAATGGTTTCAGTGCAGTCTAGTCCATATGCTGGTTGTTTACCACATCCCAAAGCTGTCAAGTGCCTTCAATGTCAGTTTCAAAAGCAATGCCAAGGACTTAAACTCAGATTTTTTTGAAAATATATGTTCTGGTTCAGCTGCAAGATACTGGGCAAACTGTAAGCAATCCTGGGTGAAATTCAAGCAAAATGATCATGATAGTGATTTCAGGCCTTGAAATATATATTTGAGATGGAATTTCTTCTTACTACTCTAAACCACATTTCATTACTGAATAGCAATCAAATTGTGCAGATCCCATTTTAAATGAACTATTTTATGATTCTATGATACACACCTAAAGATTTCATGTGAATTCCTCAAACAAATAAGCAAACAAAAAATTATACTGTTAAATTCCTGACTTTCCAAAAAACTTCTGCCTATGAACCTGCAAAAAACATGAAAGGCATATAAATTTATATTCATAAATTTATGTATTGGAACATTATCACAGAATCCCTGCCCATGGCAGGGGGGTTGGAACTGGATGATCTTAAGATCCTTTCCAACCCTAGCTCTTCTATGATTTTATTATTCTAATCCCAGACTGGTTTGGGCCGGAGGGGACCTTAAAGCTCATCCAGTTCCAACCCCCCACCACAGGCAGGGACACCTTCCACTAGAGCAGCTTGCTCCAAGCCCTGTCCAGCCTGACCTTGAACACTGCCAGGGATGGGCAGCCACAGCTTCTGACATGACAAAGAAACTTTCATCATGATGAAGAAACTACAAAAAAACCCTCCTAAAGGCTGATGAGCATGAGGCAGCAGTGTGCTCTGGCAACATCCTGGGCTGTTTTAACAGCAACATAGCCATTAGACCATGGGAGGTGATAATGCAGTTTTCTATACGTGGTCTTATGAGTGCTGTGTAGGGCAGCAGCTAGTTTTGGGCTCCCAACACAAACCAGACATCAATAACCTGGAGTGAGTTCAGCACAGTGACACCATGATGGTCAAGGGACTGGATCACTTGCCCTGTGATGGAGAATCTGAGGGTACTGGATCTGTTCAATACAAAGATTTGAGAGGACCTCCTAGCAGCCTTCCAATAACCACAAAGAGACCATCAAGGAGACAGAGCCAGGCCTCATGGGAGGATGAGAGATAACACTGGCTGAAACAAGAAAGATTCACACTAGACAGTAGAAGTAACTTTTTCTCCATGAGCACAAGCAATGGAAAGGGCTGTCCAGACAGTCTCCGGCTTTGGAGTATTTCAAAACCAGAATGGGGTAAAGCCCTAAGGCACCTGTTCCAACCTCAGTACTTTGAGCAAAAGGTTAGACTAGCTGACCTTCTGGTTTCTCTTTCAACCTGAATCATCCTAAGAATCTGGGAACATAGAACTTCCATAAATCAGGCAAAAAAAAATTGTAAGTAGGCACTCACTGCTTGCACACTCAGGATCCTTGATGCGTACATTAGTCACACTAATAAGCTGCTTTTGCAGTATTTAGGTGTACATGTAAAGCACATAAACTTAGTCCATTGTGCCTAGTGGAACTTGAACTCAGTGTTGGGAGAGTCCAAGCAAAACCAGACAGGTTCAGAACCTGCAGACAGAGCAGCCCTGAATACAGCCACAGTCCTTTTGCAACACAAGAGCTCTAAAGGTTTTGATGGACTGCTGCAAGACTGCAGGATGTGTCAATTTTTGCTAAAGACAGTAAAATTTATAAAATACAAAACAGGTGAGAATGGTCTGAACCTTGGCAATGGACTCTTGCTTTCCTGCTCTTCACTTCATCCCTGTGGCCCATTGTATGGTGGGTGCTTTAGCACCTGGGAGCCTCACCACTGCTGTAGCACCTGTGGAGGTGGTGCTCTGCTTTGTAGGAAAATTCTGTTCTCCTTCCTCCCTTCCTCCTCTCCCCTTGCATCTTGTGAGCTGGGAATTACTCCCAAAGCCTTAGACTATGCTACAAAAAATCTCTTTGAACAGCTGATTTTTTTTCTATTTTTCTTTGACTACATTACAATAGCATGCATTGTTCTATGAATTACGTTTTGGAGTGATTCCATACACAGAGACTTTTTCAGCTAATTGGATTATTCCTTTCACTGAATCAGTTTGCCAGTGGTAGCCCTAGGCCCTGATTCTTCTCTTATTTACCCCCACTGTTGACAAGTTATGTATGTAAGGCTGAGAGAGCTGGGCTGGGTCAGCCTGGAGAAGACAAGGCTCCTGAAGGGGAGACTTTAGAGTAGCTCCAGTGCCTAAAGGGGCTGCAGGAAACCTGGAGAGGGGCTTGGGACAAGGGCCTGCAGGGACAGGCCAAGGGGAATGGCTTGAACCTGCCTCAGGGGAGACTGAGCTGAGCTCTTAGGCAGAAGCTCTTCCCTGTGAGGGTGCTGAGGCGCTGGCACAGGGTGCCCAGAGAAGCTGTGGCTGCCCCATCCCTGGCAGTGTTCAAGGCCAGGTTGGACACAGGGGCTTGGAGCAAGCTGCTCCAGTGGAAGGGGTCCCTGCCTGTGGCAGGGGCCTGGAACTGGATGAGCTTTTAGATCCCTTCCAATCCACTCGGTGATTCAGATTCTTATCTGTACAAAGAGTTCAACAGATGCATTCTTTATTCTTGTTAACGGAGAACATCCTCCTACTCTGTCTTTCAGAGCACTGTACCACCTCTGCTGACAACATCTGGAAAATGCATTAGTCTTGCTTTTTCTTTAAACTCTCTGTTCTGGGATGTATTACTGATAACATGCCATTTCTGAAATAATAATGAGCATAACAGTTAAAAATTCAAAAAGTTAAAATTGACCTTTGAAAAATAAACATTAGTTCACAGAGTTTGGATATAGAGGTTTTTAAATCATTTTCCAACCATTTTATGTAATAAAATCTATTAAAAGAATTTAATGATTATAAGAAGATTCCATTGGCTGGAATATAACAATGACAACATAGCCTATAAATTCAGATGCAACTGATTCTTGATCTCACATTCATTACCTAGATGTAGATTCAGCACCTTTAAAGTCAATTAACAGCATATCCACTAAAAA